GATATATCTATCTATCTATCTATCTATCTATCTATCTATCTATCTATCTATCTATTATAGAATAATGACACATTATAATGTCTAATATTAAAATATTATCTATTTGTCCTCGGATCACAGAGACAGAGAGTAACGGGAAATCCAAACTTTTAGAGCTGTCACCAGAACAAGAGGCGGGGGAAATTTTCCAATCGGAACGCCTGCTCCGGTGACAACTGCCCAAAAGGGGATTTCCGTCACTTGGTAGAGATCTCCTCTTACTTCCTATTGGGTTTCCAGGACAGGAAAATAAATCTCCCCAACAGGACATAGGCTGCAATAAATAAATGGACCCTTAACCCTCCCTTACTCCATCCTTACTCCATCCAAAACAAACAACAATTGTTGGCTAAAGATATACTTTGAATAAAAAGTGTAGCCCATTATATTAAAAATGAGTAGCTCATTAAAAGATAGAATAACAAAACCGGCTTCTGCTGCAATATTCACCTTCAATCCAGAGGTTTCCCCCCGCAGTACTTTTTTTCTGCCACTAGATGACCAGCATCATTTAACCCACTTCACCTGAGCCCAGGTCATCCTGGACAGTGAAAGGAGAAGCAGCACACTCTGCTTTCTCCTCCAATCAAGCGCATGAACTGATTGGCTCCTTGTGCTGCTTCTTCCTCTCACAACCCCAACCCTGCTGTACAGAGACTGGATGGGGCTGATACCAGGTGACTCCAGGTACTTACACGTCTTTCATGTGGAAGATACACAAGTAATGATTTTGTGACTTTTACACCTCTGCAGAGTTCTGCCTCAATCCGGGAATGGATGAAAGATGACAATTGTTGCACAGAGAAACGCTCGGCGCGGATGACCCAGCGCACAAATATGAATACATCGTTTCTGCTCAGTCTTCCTTCACCGATCGCTGGGCGCGATAAGGAGAAATGTCAGGGCGTCATCTCTGTCTGCTATGAGCCCATATGGCCTTCTCTTCTTAATATGGATGCCTCAAAATATCACTCAGAACAATTGTCTTCATTATCAGGCCTGCCAAATATTTACTGATCCGAAATATTACCAACCCCTCCCCCACCCGGCGAGTTATCGGAAGATCTGACTTCTGCATTGCTGGCTATTTATATCTCCTCTCTGCCGTCTCCGGTAACCGCAAATCCCATCTCATTGTGCTCTGCCAGGGATGGACAATATGCAATGCAGCTCTTAAAGTGGGCCTGTCATCACATGCATTGCCCCATGTTCAGTACATACATGATTAGCGATGTGTCAGTGTACTCCTTTATCACAGCATTCCCCCTGGCAAGGTCTTCATCTGCAGAAGGAAGGCACCATATTTGTTCAGGCATCATCCAGGGTCACCATCTACACTATATTGCCAAAAGTATTGGGACGCCTGCCTTTACACGCCTGTGAACTTTAATGGCATCCCAGTCTTAGTCCGTAGGGTTTAATATTGAGTTGGCTCTGCCCTTTGCCGCTATAATAGCTTCAACTCTTCTGGGAAGGCGTCCACAAGGTCTAGGAGTGTGTCTATGGGAATGTTTGACCATTTGTGAGGTCAGGTACTGATGTTGGACGAGAAGGCCGGGCTCACAGTCTCCACTCTGATTCATCCCAAAGGTGTTCTATCGGGTTGAGGTCAGGACTCTGTGCAGGCCAGTCAAGTTCCTCCACCCAAAACTCGCTCATCCATGTCTTTATGGACATTGCTTTGTACACTGGTGCACAGTCATGTTGGAACAGGAAGGGGCCATCCCCAAGCTGTTCACACAAAGTTGGGAGCATGAAATTGTCCAAAATGTTTTGTTATGCTGATACCTTAAGAGTTCCCTTCACTGGAACTAAGGGGCCAAGGCCAACACCTGAGAAACAACCCCACACCATAATCCCCCCTCCACCAAACTTTACACTTGGCACAATGCAGTCAGGCAAGTACCGTTCTCCTGGCAACCGCCAAACCCAGACACGTCCATCGGATTGCCAGACAGAGAAGCGTGATTGGTCACTCCAGAGAACACGTCTCCACTTCTCTAGAGTCCAGTGGCGGCGTGCTTTACACCACGGCATCCGACGCTTTGCATCGCACTTGGTGATGTAAGGCTTGGATGCAGCTGCTCGGCCATGGAAACCTTTCAGAGATTACACACTCATGTAAATCCCTGTGCGTGTGCACTTCTTGGCTGTGTTCACAAATCTCTGACACAGATCGGCCTTCTGCAGCCACTCAACTTACATCTGATAGTCACGTGCATTCAGATTCGGATGAACTTGCTGAATCATGAAATTCCATTGAATCCAGCGTCGGGTGATGGCATACGCCACACCTCCAAGATGGCGACACGTGCCCATGGTCAATATGGCCGCCTCTCTTTTTTCTTTTTAAAGTGCGCGCTTTCGGATTCGGAGGTTCCTTGCTTTCGAATCCGAAACAGTATAATTATTGGTTTAATCAAACAAAACAGTTTTTCCCTTTTCATTCGTTTTGTCCGAAACACATTTTTATGCTTGTGCACATGTCTGATCCCTGGGGGAGCAGAGACTGAGGGAATGGTACCTCCGGCCTGCAGCAGACTGATGACATCATCTCTGCCTAGGCAAAGTCACTGACTGTAACTAGAGATTAGAGTGTTGCTCAGAGGCGTCCCCAGTCCACAGGGTCACCTGCTGGGACATGTGTAATGACGCCAGGCGCACTTAACATCTCGGTGATGGACGCACAGGGAGGACTATGAATGCAAACAGTGTCCGGAGCAGTGTAGAGGGTGCCAGGCTGTATTTAAGGTTTCAATTTTGGTATACTAGCTACAGTGTGTGGGCAAACAAGTACTGTTTTTTTTTTTTTTTTACAGCAGTTATGCTAAAGTGGTCTCCCGCAGTCATACCTGAAAAATATCACTTTTGCCTGCCTTGAATAAAGTATAAAGCTCAAGCTATTTAAATCTTTTGCTTAGAATAAGGACAGGAAAAGATTTGAACTCTGTTTTATTGCAGGATATACTTGATTTAGTGTCGTGTACATGGACAGAAGATCGGCCGATGATAAAAGTACTAGAGCACGATCTCCGCACACGCAGATCTCAGCACAGCGCAGCACTGACAGCAGTGGGCGTGGCCTAGCCCTGCGCAGTCCTGCGATTGGCTAGCTGCGCGCTGCTCCCCCTCTATGTGGTGTGTCCCGCGCCGCGCTCCGTAGTTCGGGTGCTGCAAGATGGCGGCGTCCATGTTGAGCAGGGTGTCTGTGACCCTGCGGACCCCTGGACTGTGCAGTGTAGTGTGGAGGGTGCAGCATTACAGCAATGGCCTGCCCGACAAAGAAAGAAGGAAAGGTAAGGCTTTTGGTGTTTGTGGGGACAAAAGCTCCCAGCATGCCCCTTATCTGCCTAAGGAGGGGACTGTAACTTCCAGCATGCCCTCTACGTGTATCAGAAGGGACTACAACTTCCACCATGCTCGCTATCAGTATCAGGGGGACAACAACCCTCAGTATGCCCTCTGTCTGCATCAGGTGAAATTACCCCCCTCCCAGCATACATTATATCTATCGGGTAAACTGCAACTCCCAGCATATCTCCTATTTGTATCAGGAGTTCTGCTCCCAGTATGCCTCCTGTCTGTATCAGAGGGACGACAACGTACAGCATCAGAAGACTGCAACCCCTTGCTTGCTTCCTTTGTGCCCTATCTTTTTCTGGCAGGACTACAGCTCAAAGCGTGCCTCCTATCTGTCTCAGGAGGGGCAGCAACTCATCCACCTCCTTTTTCAGTGGGACTACAACTCCCAGCTTCAGTGGGACTACAACTCCCAGCATGTATCTTATCTGTATCAAGGGAGGCTGCAACTCCCACCATGTCTCAGGTAGAGCATGAGCTGAACTCCTGGTGTTTTAAGGTGGGCTACAATGTCCATTTCTATTTTGGGAGGAACTACAACTCCCAGCATTCCTCCTTTCTTTCTCAAATTAATTTCTGTCTGAGGTGGGACCATAACACCCAGCATTCCTCTTGCCTGTGTTGTTAAGTGACTGTAGAGCATGCCCTCTGGGTGCCTGGCCCGACAGCTTCTGATCTGCATTCTGTCCGGATGTCGAAATTAGATGTTTTTCTTCTGGTAGGGGAGAGGACTGAAAGTGAACCTGTCATGAGAGAACTAGATGGATGTGTTGCTGATCTCTTCCTCTGTAAAGCTGGCTGTCATGCTGATGCTTTGGCTTCAATGCATTCGGTGCGACTATCCTGCAACAAGTGTAGATAACACATTTTCTGACTCATTTGCTGCAGGACTGTTATGGGTCGGTGGCTGAGAAGAACTGGATCCAGACAGCCAGGCAGCTAGCATTTTCAGGAGGAGGTCATCCTACACATTCCTGTCATGGCAGAAGTCTAAGCTTATCTGGACCCTGAGATGGGAGTGCAGCTCCCAGCATGGCTTCTGCTTGGCCTTAGAGTGCAAATCAAAGCATTGCCCATCATACCCTGTATTGGTACATATGTAGTATGTGTGATAAGCACACAGAATGGCCCACATATTAAAACGTTTCTGAAAACAAAATGTGTGACCCACAGAGATCACTCATTAGATAAAGCATGTCACAGATGCTTTTTTCCTGTGGGTTGCATTGCTACACAATGCCACCGGTGTGAGCTGTAGTGATGACAAACTATCCATTTACTATCATGAGTTTAACTTTTTTTTTTTTTTTTTTTCCCAGCTCGCAGAGGACTGCATCCGCTAACAAGACCAGAGAAAAGCAAAATAGTAAGATGCCTTAAAGTGTAACTGTAATAAAAATTGACATATATGACGCAGCCTATCAGTAGCAACACAGCAGTTATTGTGACTTTTATCACGTGTTGATCCGGCCAATAGATCTGCTCTTTTTCCCACATCCTGATTTAGGTTTCATTCGCACCTAATGTTAAAGGGGAATTACAGGGAGAGTGAAATACACTGATCCCCATACTTAGAGCCGGCGTGTGACACAGCAGCTGTCACACGTCAGTTCTATTTTTGAGAACTGAGTGATCGCTCAGTTCACAATCATTCAGTCATCGCTCCCCGCAGGGATTCCCCCTCTCCCTTCCTCTAGTGCTGACTGGAGGGACAGATGAGAGAGGCAGAGCTCGCTGTCAATCAGGCAGCGGGGTGGATACCGACAATTTTATCAGGATCTTTGCCAGCTGCAGCGCAGCTCTGTGCTGTCAGCATATAGCGGGCAATACCCACAATATATAGTATTGGGTCACTGGAGGACATTGGTAAATGTCCTCCTGTTACTCTAAAGAGAAGTAAGACCTAAAAAAGGTTTTGCCACAGTTTTCTTTAGGGTGCGTTTTTAGATTCCTGCAGCAAGAACCGGAATCTCAAATATGCAGTTTAGCAGCGGCCGCTGTCACCCGTTCAAGTTAACGATCGGGTGTCAGCGGCCTCATTTGAAAGCAGCAGTACATGTACTCATATGTGATATGATTACGTGTGTTTAGGAATAGATCACTGTCCCTGGACACATCTACCGTGGCTCAAGGGACAGTGAAAAAAAAAGACACATTTTTTAAGGGAGGCGCTAGACCAAGGGGCAGGTAACCTCGGCACTTCAGCCATTGTGGAATGTCAAGTCCCATGATGCATTGCAAGACTGACAGCCATAAGCATGACTCCCAAGGGCAGAGGCAGGAGTTTGTTTGTATTTGCAGCACAGCTGGTGTGCCAAGGATGCCTACCCCTGCTCTAAAAGTATCTCTGACATCCAACTGAATCATAGGACGTTCACTAATTGAGATTGGTCAGCAGCTCTCCGCCCCTGAAAATGCAGCGATTCTGCAGATCCGGCATTGCATGTTTCAACCCTGAACTAGAACCTTAGACAGGATTTTATTGCCCTTTTTTTTGTCCCTGTGACACCGCTTTTCTTATGTTTTCTGTGGTGTCACTGAGAAACACAGTGAGGGGAAGTGGGGGAACGACAATAACCTGACGGAGGTTCTGTTCTTTCCCACTCTCTCTTCAAATCTAAGGGTGCCCACACACCTTACGATAATCGTATGGTAATCGTGGGAAATCCCGCGATCGTACGATTATCATAAGGTGTGTGGAAGCCGTGGGACCTCTACTACTGTAAGGTCGCACGATTTTTAACTTACGAACATGTTTGAAAACCCACCGAGCATCGTACGATGTTCGGCGGGTGTGTAGCATGTTCGTAAGATAAAAGCCGGACGGGCCGGTGTGCGCAAGCGCACACTGCCCGTTCGGCATTGCGGTCATCGGAAGCCCGCCCCTCGGGGGCGCGGCTTGCGATCATCGCAAGTACGATCTGCCTGATATAGGCATATCGTAGAAGATCGGCAGATCGTACGTTTTTTTAATTACCTTACAACCATCGCAAGATAAAAGTCTTGGGATGGTTGTAAGGTGTGTGCCCAGCATAAGAAAAATAATTCTGGTTGGAGCTGAGCTTTAAAGTGCTTCCATAGCCAAAGCTCAACTCCAGACAAAAAGTTTTCTTTAACTCTTGGCGCTAATGGCTGCCAGCTGAACAATCCACTTGCTGTTGCACACTCAAAGTTTTCAACATGGAGGTGGCGCTCTGTTCCCTTTTGTTTTCAAAGCTCAACTCCAGCCTACCCTTCAGTCTTGCAAAGTTGTACTGGCTCCTCTTCTGGACTGAAATTGCTTAGTCGGATTTCACTGCCCACTGTGAGCTTCTCATAATGTGCATCAGATGCTGCAGAAAGTCAGATCGAGCCGGTTTCATTTCCTGACTGGAGGACATCCAGCATCATCTAGGCTTTCCTCCCCAGCCTGACTGTCCCTGGCCCGTCCCTTTCATTTAAAGGATTGGATGGGGATGTTACCTAGGGTGGTCTGCATGCAAATACAGCCGGCCTAGGAACACCCAAGGTTCCAGGAATAGGTAATGCTTTCTGGGGATCGGTGCATCTTTCACCAGAGCAAATACTAGATATTTAGTAGTGAGAAAATATAAATATATAATTATGTTAAAAAAAAAGCATTTATCTGGGTCTACCTATTTTTTTAATGTACATTTTTTTGTGCAATTATATTCTAAAATATAATAATATAAAATAACTATAAGATAGAAAATGAGTACTGCATGTGTCTATTAATATAAGTCCAGACGTAGGGGACACAAATCCCTGAAACACATTTGCTTTTCTGATAATGCAGTTTGATTTCAACACTCTACTTCAGGTTTTTGCTCCACGTACAGAAAGGATGCCTCCGGATCAAGACTGGACAAGCGTATATCCGACAGCGGCCTCTTTTAAGCCATCGGCTGTGCCCCTTCCTGTGCGGATGGGCTATCCTGTGAAGATGCGGGCACCCCCGGACAAGTATGGTAACCTGGAACTTGTAAAGGTAAACTTGAAGTAACTTGTATGGAACTTGAAGGTAAAATTAAATCCCTGTGTTTGTGTTGAGGAATCGCAAAAAGAAAACCATAAGAGACTTTAATGTCGTAGTCTGAGTTTAATTAAATTATATGACCCCTGAAGCTAACGTGATGCAAACCCGGACAATTCCAGGTAAGCATTTGATGAAATATGGAATGCAGGGGTTACCTGTAGTGACAACCGCCGGTCAACATGATGAGCAGATTCCGAGTTAACGCTATGCAGATGTTGACTTTTCTTGTCAAATATCACTTTGGCCCCTGCCTTCCCATTGGTTGATGAAGCTGTATATCACATTGAAGGACCACTAGGGTGGGAGGCGCAATGCAGAGTTCAACTTTAACTGGAAACTATAAAATTTGGCTGTACCTCTAGAGCCACCAGTTTGGTTTTACATTGACATCACTGAACAGTAACCTCTCTTGCATTTTCTTTACATGCTCCTGGTTTACATTATGTGACTGTGTCCTGACACCTAGTGTCATGTCACCTGAAAGACTAAGGACATCTAGTGGTGAAATGGAACAACATTGGGGTTTGCGTATTGCAGCCTAAACTGTTTTTGTTTTTTGTCTTCTAAGCTGCTGCGGGACTTTAAAAAAAAGACACAGAATAAAGTGATATTAAACTCCGAAGTTAAATCTTAAAAATTAATTCAAGTACCCTAACTAATAACAATAATGTCTCTTATTTGTGTATCACTCGGCTGTAGATCCTCAAATCATCTCTGAATCTGTGCTGTCCTTCCTTCTGGAGCGGTGGCTACTTTTGTTCCCCATGGTCCCTGTGTGTGTTGTAAAGTAGCCACCGCTCCAAGCTTGCTCCTATGATGGACTACAAGCTCATGTTTAGTTTACTAATTTGTAGTGAGATTGTAGTCCATCACAGGAGTGAGCTTGGAGCGGTGTCTACTTTATCACTACCCTAAAAAAATTAATAAAATTAGTGTGTGTGTCCTCCTTTTTCCTCCTAAGCTTTTTCTGTTTTTCTAATGCTTTTGTAGATTCCCAACTTCCTTCACCTAACCCCCCTGGCTATAACGAAGCACTGTGCGGCTCTAAAAGGTGAGTGCTCGGCTTTCAGTCAGGTAAGAGCCTAATAGAGTTACAGGTGCTTATATCTGTATTTCGCCATGGCTTGCTTTCTTCTCTCCCGTTCCTCCTCTCAAGGCCACGTGGGTTATAGGAAATTGCTTTTTTAAATCTACAGCCCATAAGAATAGCAGCTTACCCGTGGCTGTGATTTGTGTTTAGAAAACCTGTTTGGCAGAAATACATTTTAACATCAGATATCAACTTGTAACCCAACTGGCCTGTGCACAAGGCCGGGGTTTCTGGGTATGGTCAGGACCTTGCAGACTGTGTGATATGAGCCAAAGGTAGACCCTCCCAAAGTCAGCCATGATTATTAGCCAGGAACTGGAGGTGCTGTCGTTTTTACGTTTCAGTTCCTCCGTTTTGTAAGTAGGAGTCGTATGTAAGTCGGATGTATGTACCTCGGGCACTGCCTGTACTTACTACATGGTACAACCACAGCAACAAGGGGTCAGCCAGTAAGAAGGGGTCTCTCCTCGCTGCTATACCTTGGTGAGGCTACAGGGGAATGATACATCCAAGAAGGAGAAGACATGATATACATATTTGTGCTCTTCTCCTTCTTGGATCTTCCTTATTTCATTATAATGAGATTGTCCTTTGTCCTTTGACTGAAACCAAGCAGCTCTGCTTCCAGTGACATTCAGGGTACAGGTGGCCATGATGTGTTTGTATATTTTTTTATAGAGTTCTGCACTGAGTGGCCGGCTGCACTTTCCGACGATGACCAGTGCAAACAGCATTTCCCTTTAGAACTCCAGTCTGTGGATTTTGTGTTCGCTGGGCCATCCATCCGCAACCCCAAAGCCAGGGTAGTGACCCTGCAGGTAAGTAAAGCAGCCTCCTATTATGTATGTTATCCGAGAACTGTGTCAAAGTCCACTTTAAAATAGGGATATTGCTAACATGGTGGGCTGACTCACCAATTGGCATCCTAATGAGACCCTGTCGCCAACTTATAAAATTGCAGGTACCTGCACAGAAAAAATACTTAAATGCTTTCTTGCATTAACATTTGTTTTTTACTTAACTTGCAATGTGCCTTTTGAACTTGACTTCTTTTATGAAGTCAGTTCCGTAGCACAGCTCTTATTGAGCAGTTGTACAGGCCCAGGAACTCAGCACAGGGATGGTGGGAACCCCTCATAATGGGCACAGCAGGTGTACAGACCCAGGAACTCAGAACTGGGATTGCACGAACCCCTCATAATGGGCACAGCAGGTGTACAGACCTGGGAACTTGGTGCAAAAAATCTCACAAGATGGGTCCCCGAGGGATAGAAGAGATGTCTGGTAGAAGAGACTGTACAATGGTTTCACTCTCCAGCAACTACCAATAGCTATAGGTGGCAGCTACATGACAGTCTGACCTTTTTAATACAGGGATGACCAAACCGCAGCCTTTTAACATTATACTTTAGATCTTAACATATTTGCATCTAATATTTAATGTATTATTACTCCTGTTGTATATTTTCTCACAGATAAAGCTTTCTAGTTTGAATCTCGATAAACATGGCAGAAGAAAGCTGATTAAACTTGTTGGGTCTCGGTACAATGAAGAGAATGATACTTTGACAATCCAGACAGACAGGTAAATGAAGTCGTCCTTTGTTATACCTTATCCTCTGAGCCAGGCATGGGCCGTCTTGCCAGTCTGGGGGCAGGAATATGCTTGTGACTACTTTTTCCTTCTGTTATTCAGGTGTCCCTTAAGGAGGCAGAATGAGGATTATGCCATGTACCTGCTGACAGTCCTCTACCATGAGTCCTCTGTAAGTGTTTCTTTTAAGTCTCCCATTTAACGGTCATCTCCATGAATAACTGAATCCCCATATTTGATTGGGACCCATCGCGATGGGAACATAAAGGGAGCTCCCTTCTCACCTGGAAAGGTGGTAAGAAGACCCTAATGCATTCTGGCATTTTTCCGCCTGACCTTTTGTAGTACCTGGATTCCCAGAGAGCCATTGATTCATGGCCTTGCTGTAGCACCACTGGGGGTGCTGTAGTTGATCAAAAGTGATCATATTCCCAAAAAATTGTTCCATCACAGCTTGAGAAGTGAAAGTGATCATCTGACTGTTGTAGGCCACACAACATTTTTACCGGATTGCCCCCCAAAAAAGAAGGGCAAGAAAACATTTAAAATTGCCTCTTATTGGGAATATGTTAGGTTATAGGTATCGGCTTTAGTAGAGTTTCCCAGTCTGGTGCCAGCCTGAGGATTTGGCAGAGCCCCTGTACGGTGTCCTCCGGTGCTCCGGATCCTGAAGTCGACGTGCACCATCCGATTCCAGGCTGTCCCCCGCACACAAGCCCGGGCTGCTTTCATTACCTTTCAGTGGCTGATGAATTATTCAGCAGCTTCTCATCGGATGAATTGGCTTTGATTGCTCTGCATATTTTATGAGCCTCTGTGACACTTGTGATTTTTCCATGATCCCGGCGAGTGTGCTTTGAGTGGCAGGACGTGGGGGGGAATCCCAGGGCGAGCAGCCTCGGACTCCTTTCCATGCGTTGTATTCCAAAATAAATGTGAACACAAAACATTGCTTGATCTATTTGCACAAAAAGTTCTCCAGCCTGTGGATTGGGTATGTGCGCATATAGAACAAGTGGCCACCCACATCAGGTGTGTGTGTGTGTGTGTGTGTCAAACTTTTTGTTTTTAGCTGTGATGGTGTGGGGATGGGCTAGATCCTCTGTCAGATTTTATTGCATTGTACCCGCTGGAGAGATTAATTGTCCTGGTAACTGAAGCAGGAAGTGATGGACAATCCAGAATCATTGTCACTGGCATGACCTGTGAGGGTTAATCTTCCACTGGGGGCAGCTCTCTAAGAGGGAAATTCTTCTCACTTTGTACAGATTTCCTCTCACTTTCTATACATTGTTTCATATATTTGCCAACCTGTGCAACTATTTTTTATTTGAAATCAGAGGCCGGTCCTGGTGCCTGTGCAGTTCTTGGCTGTGTTCACAAATGTCCGAGAGGCTGCACCAGGGGCTGATCTGTGTCGCATTGTGACTTGCTACAAAGTAACAATATTGAGTCTGGACTTCTTGGACTAATATACCGGTTCTGGGATGACGCAGTCCTGTAAATCCTGGTACCTGTGCCGTAGTCTTTTCTGGGATTTGTGGAATGTTGTCATTTTTTTTCTTTTGCAGAAAACTGAAGCGTGGGAGAACGAGAAGGAGGAGGGTGACATGGATGAGTACATCTGGGAGGGCAGCAGGTCTGAAAAGAACGTCCTACAGGTGCTTTCCAAGTTTCACGATGCATCTACCTCCAGCGAGGAAATCCTCCAGTCTCCCAGTGTGCAGGAATACCGCAGCGCAATGCTGAACCTGCGCAACGAAGGCGAGACGGAAGACAGTATCAGCGCCTACAAGCAAAGCGTGAAGCAGATGCTGGGCTTCGCATAACCACCTCCCTGGATCTCTAGACTGTGCAACTGCTGAAATCCCTCCCAATTTGATGTTCCTGTAATTTTGGGACTGACTCCACTTATAAGTTATATCTGTTTTCTGTGGGTGGTAGTGGGTTTAATCACATGCTGCTTTTTTGCATCTCTTGGGACTGCAGTGTCAAGATCTCTCCTTCCGCATTCTCAGGTCTTTGTGCAGTGAAATGATTCTGCACTTTCAGTAGAATTATTGCCATGGTGGGAGGAACAGCGACACCTGCAGGGAAATATCAGAGTGGGAGGGGCATAGACACCATCCACTGCAGGGAAATATCATGGTGGGAGGGGCAGAGATACTATTTAACTAATTCTATGGTGGAGGGGAGGGGGGAGCAGAGACACCATCCACTGCTGGGAAATATGATGCTAGAGGGGCAGAGATACCATCCACTGCAGGGAAATATCATGGTGGGAGGGGCACGGACACCATCCACTGCAGGGAAATATTATGATGTTAGAGGGGCAGAGATACCATCGACTGCAGAGAACTATTTCTATGATGGGAGGGGTGGAGACACCATCCACTGCAGGGAAATATTACGGTTGAAGGGGCAAACACACCATCTAGGGCAGGGGAGTGTAACTGTTGTGGGAGGGGCAGATACACCAACTATATTGGGGACATCTCAACATTGTGGGAAATGCCAATTATGGTTGGAAAATCTCCTCACTTAAGCCTCTGACAGCTGTAAGAAGACATTGATTGATTTTGCTCTCCCTTTTGCCCATGCAGAACTGAAATATCAGCTATTGTCTTGTCTTATGTGTGAACAATGGACTGAAGATAAACCTCACCTTTTCTTAATATTTTGTTTACCATTAAACTGTCATGCCTTCAGTCACATTTTGAACTATTATTGTAGAATTTACTCAACTAAACATTGACACAATTTTTACAATGCCACGCGCTTGCTGGTCCATATTTGCCTGAAATTTTGTTATACACAGGAGCGCCCTCTACTGGTTGTCAGTGTAATCTGCATCCTAGCTGAACTGCTTACAGGATGAAAGTTCTGCTAGACATCAGTGGACTTGAAAAGCCGGGGCCCATTGCCATAGCTTCCCCTGACAGGTTGGATAGGGCTGTGCCCTCTCCTCTCGTGAATCACATAAAGATATTTGCGGGTCAGCCCCGAGTGTACACGCTTATAGAGGGTGCTGAAGATTATTTATTTTTTAGCTTGAGGTTGGTAAGATCTCACCTGGCTGTCTATAAGGTATATAGTTGTTGTGAGCAGCACTTGGTCTGGGATTACTGTGAGGCCAGCCTGTCACTGATGCACCACCCATCACGCAGGCTGGGCTCACAGTATCAGTGACAGGCTGGACTCGCAGGAAATGGGCAGAATGATGCAAGTCTCTGAAGAGAACTGGCAGTGCTGGACCAAGAAGGAAGCTGGGGACAGCACTGGATCACAGAGAGGTACAGCTTGGGTACTTTTTTTCCCTTTGGGACCCATTCACATTTTTGCAGTGCATTAGCACATGTGCGTTGTTAACTTTTGTTGCATTAGGGCAGCCCATTAAAGATAACGGGCTGCCAACACATCAAAAATGTGTCATTTTGTTTTTTCTACTACAAGGCACTACCATGCATCGCCATACCTTGCAGCCTGTTGCAATGCAGGTGTGTTGGGGTGGCATCCGAAATGATGCATGCAATGTGCAGATGTACGTGAACCGTCTTCTACAGTGGTACCTTGGTTCACGAACTTAATTCGTTCCACGATTCTGGTCGTGAACCGAATCAAACTGATCAGACCGCAATCTGGACTAGAGGAAGCCACAACCATGTGTCAGAGCGGGGAAGATGGCTGCGGTTATTTTCGTCACCCGATGCAGAGTTTGCGAACGGAAGCAAAATTTTGCTGAATTTCCTGTTTGCGAACAGAAGCGTTCGTGAACCGAGCTACCACTGTAACATTACTGTCCTAGGGTGATAAGGCTGCTCCTCCATAGATACAGTTCAGTAAGTGAGCGTTGTCACCCTAGGACAGGAAATGTGTTACTGGCAGGATCACCAGGTGATAGAGATAAAATAGAAAACTAGTGCAGGTACCATATCTAAGGACTGATAAGCTGCAATAAATTACATTTCTGTTCTTGGCTTGAGATACGTTTTAAACTACATCTATAGGCCTATCGTAAGAATCAACTTTAACATTGCTAAGACAAAAAGCCTGTGAACGCGGCCAGTGTACAAAACAAAACAAAAAACCTTTCAGTGGCATATGTAACAGACTAAAAGGGGGCAAAACATACAAGTTCATTGTCTGGGATTACATCCTCTTTAACTTTTTGTTTGGAATTCATCTTAAAGGTCTCAGGTTCTCCCAGAACAGTGTAGGAGGTACATGATGCCCCCCTCCCCTCCCCCACACTGCTTCTATTAAATTGTACATGTTCCTTCACAAGAGGGAGCATTGATGGCGGCGGAGATTGTGGCATTGCTCACACAGATGGGCTCCACTGATCGGCTGATGGAAGAGGAGATAAGTGTCTGTATGGGGGCCGCACCTTACACCCGACACACTAAAGTACCAGATTTGCGGCAGCTCCGATTTCTTCATTGTACTTGTTCAAAGCTCTCAGGCCAGGACTGCGCTTTGTATAGTCCCAGCTCTATATAAAATCATGTCGGCTACCATTGCCGGGTGCCTGAAAGTTGCCTGGCTGATCCAACAGTACTGCCCCAGAAGAGGCAACCTTGGCATTACAGCTGTGGTGAAACTACAAATCCAGTCATGCCAATGGCTGCCAGACTTGCAATGCCTCACGGGACTTGTAGTTCCACAACAGCTGGAGTGCCGAGGTTGCCTACCCTGGTATGGAGGTAAGGAATTCTCACTTTGATTTGCAGCATGTGTCTTGCCTACGACTGGTACTGATGTCAGACAGCCAGGCGACTGGTGTTTTCGGGATGAGGTTAGTTATTGTTATCCTTGTATTTCTCATGACAGGTGAGCTTTGAAGGACCAGTGCGCTTTAGGTAATCCCCCCTGAGTGAAGACCACCCGGTGAAATTCTTTCTTCTGCAATCTTCATTGTGTGGGCCTTTCTGACACCGCACAGCCTTCCCCAGGAAAAGTGCCCGGCTGGGCTTCTTCCCACATGCACAGGCCCTACACCTCCAATACATTCCTATGGGTGAGCTGTACTGTCTGCGCTTCCAGCGGAGTAAGTGTCACCCTTTGGAATGAATGGGGCTGCGGCACACATGCAGTAGGAAGAAGCCCCGGCCGCCACGTCTTCCTTCCAAAGCCTCTGGGAGCCCCCCTAATCTTGAATGGGTTGCCTTCAAACAATGCATGACTTAACGCATGTCAACTCTGCAAAGACTATAATGGGCCCCTATAGCAATCTTCTTAACCATGTCAGCTATACGTGAAGATTCTACTGTGCAGTTGTTAATCAGGGAGGCTGAGTGGCAGCAGAGGGTCACTAGAGGGAAACACATCTGAACACTATACAACAGGGGTAGGCAACCTGTGCACTCCAGCTGTTGTGGAACTACAAGTCCCATGAGGCATTGCAAGACTAGCAGCCACAGGCATGACTCCCAGAAACAGAGGCATGCTGAGATTTGTAGTTTCCCTACACCTGGAGTGCCAAGGTTGCCTACCCCTGTTGTATGCATTTGAAACGCTTTTAACTAAACCAGCCACCCCCATAGACTTCAATGGGGCTTGCGGCAAACTTCGCGCCAGATTCCCAAAACTGTTTGCGAAATGAACCCAGGCAGCGCTGCTCATCCCAATAGAGCGCAATGTAGAGGTGAGGAACGACAGAGGATATATACAAATACGTTTGTATTGAATAAGAGGGTAATGTCACCTAAAGGGTTAAATATGGATTCCCCCCCCTTCATTATGATTTGTAATCCTCTAATTCCCCTGACCTGTGCCACCTATACCAGGCTGCAGCCCCCTCTCTGATTGACTCCGCCAGCACCCGACCTGTGAAAGCAGGTGTCCCACTTGGCGGATGGTTGGCCTAATCCCTCGGTCACATGGGGGTCAGCGCGGTGACGCAGCATGCGCTATAATTTGTGCTGTTGAGTCATTCGTGCCTCATTTGGTGACCTCCTGCTAATCTGAGGAGGAGAAATCCCTTTTTTGGGTCAGTTCCAGCCACGGTGACCTTCACCAGCCGGTCCCAGGAGCTGGGAACACAAACACTGCATTAGAGAAGAATGGAGGCATTGAACGAGGCTGGGACAAAAGATAAGAGAGCCCCCCTTCGCTCACAGGAGGAGAAGCGGGGGAGGGGGGGGATCTGTTACCTGCGCCACAGCCATCAGTCCAGTCCACGCGGCAGATGGTTATGTGCGACAAAAACGTCATCTAGACCCCCTAACACTAAGACATTATCATCGCTCTCAACAGGGATTTTTCCACCCCTGGCCCTGTTCTAGGCAACTGAGGCATCACTGAGGGAAACAGACAGGTGGGTGGTTTGCTACACGGCTTCCCAAGCTCTGCACTGACGTGATCCTCCCTATAGACTTTTTTTGCCTGCAGTCAGTCAATCTATCACTGCATGAGATCGATAACTATAGATTCCCATAGCGAAACCATTAAGAGTTGGTTCACACTGGTGCACTGTGGTAAAATGCACGTTTTACTGCCCGCTGCTGAGCATTTCCAGTAATGCATGTTAAAAGGCACATTTTACAGTATAGTTTATTGAGATCAGTATTCATTTTCAATAGTACCCCAACATACTAGCACAAAGCATTGTAATGCACCACAGTGCACATACCTGTACACTGCATTAAAGAAAAAGTGTCATGTACCACTTTAGGTGCGTTGCCACCCATTCAAAATGAACGTAAAACACATGTTAAGGCAGCACACCAGTGTAAACTGGCCCTTAGGGGCCCCCTGCTTTTCTCATCTCCAAATCATAGTTTTCTAGTCACAGAGAATTCCTTTTCCTTTAAAGCAACTGTATAGAGCTCCCAATACTCTACATACATTCCGTTTATTTCATATTCCGAATGCCGTATCTTCTCACAGAAATCAATGAGCTTCGGGGCCCATAGCAGAGGGTCCGCTGTAGCTGTAGTTCAGCCCTTTTGTATTGGGGTCTGCGTTTTCTTGCATGCCCTTATTATGCCTCATAAAATATAAAGGAACATAGGTTTTGCTGCCATATGCTGCATTAATTGCAGTGGTAAATACAAGCTCATATACTGTATGTCTGCAATGCAGTTTCTAATGGGACCCCAATGTACTAATACTGTAGAGAGAAACGCACACGCACTGCAGTGTACCACAGCGCACTTGGCCAAGCTTCCAGATAGAAGGCTTATACAAGACCCCCTATCTGGAATATTATCAATAGAAAAAACAGTAATCCTTCTATATGATACACTCAGTGGCAGAACAAGGGGGCTGGTTCAAGATTTTTTTTCCTCTGGCCTCCCAAACCCTGCCCGGCTCTCCCCTCTCCTGCCGCCTATTACTAGGGACATGGCAGGGGCGGGATTTACTCTCTCTCTGCTACCCCAAGGCCAGGTTCCTCAATGCGCCCCGCTAACCCCCAAACCCCCCCCCCCCTTCATGGAGAATGGAGGCTGCATACAAGTGATCGCGGCAACATATCCAGGATCACTTGTACAAAGCAAGCAGCGGCTTTGCCACTGTACATTTAGATCTGCTTGCCCAAAGCCCGGGGCTTGGCTGGCCTTGTGGGAAATCCGGCCCTGGAGGTGGCCCAGAGTCCAAGCGGGAAGCCGTCAGACCCAACCCCCCCCACTCAGAAGCCCGCACAGCCCACCCTGCTTCCCAGGGACCCTACACTGCCCAGTATTCCACCAATGTGGGGTGCCTGGGAGCAGATCTCCCTGGGCACCCCCAGCCTGGGGCCCTGGTGCAACTGCATCGCCTGCACCGGCAGTAGGTCCGCCCCTGATACCCATCATCCCTCTGCACACCAGCTGAGGCTCAGAATAAGGCCAGCACTGGTGGCTGCTATGAGGGAGGAGGCAGAGTATTGTAGTGAGTGACACCCTATCCACAGTCTCCCTGGAATTTCATACAACAGGAAGAGTTCAGGCTGACACCAAGAAGTTGGGTTGTGGCGCAAAGAAGTGTTTTTGGGGTCAGAAACTGTACTGTATTGAGTATTGATTTTTAAAGTAAAGTAGCCATGTGACATATACTGATAACAGCCAGAACTGTGTGCATAGAGAAGACTTTACTAGCATATAATGGCCTTTACACCAGCTTTATATGATTTCATTTAAATAACACAGAGTTTCTGATTATACATCTGAGATCTAAAAATAAATACGAAGCATATTGTACATGTGTCAACAAGTTCTCTTTGCTCGGGGTACATTATTAAAACACTTGATATGTGTTAAGCCATACAGGTGATACATTACAGTTGCAGAACCAGATTGATCCAGTAGGGGGAGATGTGGAGCATTGGCCAAAGGCCAGCACTCACCTTTTTGGCAACAGTGTCAGTCCTTGTCCTTAAGTAGAGTCCACCTAATCAGAGTCCCTCTGGCAGTGCTACGAGCTCTCCCAGGCTTGTACCGCCCTCTGCGTCTCATTCGGCAACACCCAAGTGCCAGAATTCCTGAGCAACAGCATAATAAAGTTACCGCAGAACCAATAAGAACCGGAAGAGCCCAAAGGTTAGTCGAAAGGTCTCCTGTGTCCTCCCCTTCTGCATCAGAGCTGTGGTTCCTTCCAACGTGGCCTTTGGTCTCGTTGAGATGTTGCTTGCTGCTGTCCAGGTGCGCTGGGCTTTCAACATCTGTCATTGGCTTTCCCAGAGGTGGAGAGGAGGGCAGGAAATCTTTGGTGCCAAGTTCCCCTCCGACATGTGACCTGTCCCCTGATGGGGAGTATCGAGCACTCTCAGACACAAGGTGTGAAGGAGTCTGGGGCGGGTAGAGAGTGGGGGGGAAGGATCGGAGGGGAGAGTCTGCAGGGGAGGGTGGTTGAGTAGGTGATTCCTCAGGGGAGGAGTCAGCAGGTGAAGGAGTGGAGACTATATATGGCGAAGAAGATGCTTGGTTCGTGTGGCGCTCCTCGGTTGGATGCACCTGCGGAGAGGTGGGAGCAGAGGAGCTGTGTGTCTGCGATATGTTCACTCGATTCCATTTCAAAGATGACCGCAGGTTAAAGTCCACATGACCCAATTTTTCGAACACCAGCAGGTCTGGATCAACACCTGTAAGACATGACTTGAAACATTAAAAGGGACAGTAAGCAGGAGTTAAAGGGTTCTAACATTTCTAAATGTGTTCAGATTTTAGGAGCTAAAATAAATATATTTATATCTTGAATGTTTCAAACAAAGTCGAGTTACATCCATGCATTTTCTTATTTAAAGGAGGTCAATCACTGTAAAGTGTATGTACACCCAAGTACAACAATGTAATATACTGCCGCTTACCAGGCCCTAGATGTGGTGGCTGTATTCAGTTTCTTATTTTCAGGCTTTTTCCCCCCTTTATCTCACCCTGGTGATCCTGTCAGTAGTACACTTCCTGTTTTAGGGTGACAACACTCACTGTACTGTATCTATGGGGAAGCAATGTTGTCACCCTAGGACAGAACTACAGAGTCAACAGAACAAGCTCAAGCAGGGCCGATAAAAAAGTTAAACATTTTAGTGTAGGCTTTGTTGGCTCAAACAGGAAGTTATCAGCTCAAAGGATTTCTGGCAGGTATTTGTTGCACTTATTGAACAGATAAAACAAAATGCTTTTGATGAGACTTACCTATAAAAGGAATCAAATAAGAGAAGTTAAGTTAGGTCTGTAGAAAATAAATTTTAAAAAAAATGGACTTGCTGTATTTTTCTTAAAGATGTTTTGCTGGCCATTCCGACCAGCTTTCTTAATTCTGAGTTGAGAAAGCTGGTCGGGTGACCAGCGAAATGTCTTCAAGAAAATTTCCAGTTGTTTTGATTTATGTTCTACAGATATACCATGACCTGGATGAATGAGAATCCTCACAGGCTGCATTGTTAGGGTTTGGGGTGATATTAAAGTTGAAATGCTTAAGATCTATTTCAAATGCTGATTAAGATTCAAATGTTAGTTTCCTGCAGAATTTGCTGGTCCCCTGAGCACTGGCCCTGATATCCTGTTTTAGGGTGGCCCCTTTCCCTTGTAGGGTCCTTGTGTGTGATAGTAAGCTGTGTGTGTCTCCACAAAAACACAGGCACAGCAAGGCAAGCCATTCCCCTGATACCCCATCCTCCCCTCCTCCCTTCTCCAGGAGATTATTCTGTCCCTTGTGATCTTGTACTGGACAGGAAGTTAAGGGAGGCTGAGCTGAGAGAGTTGGAGCTGTTTGGAAACTTGATGACTGTGTTTGGGTAAAAATATAAAGAAATACTTTGCTGGGTGATGTACATTTGTTTGATCCATGTTCATTATTGAAAAAAAAAGTTTGAGAGTTTATACTTTATTATGTGTGAAAAGGAGTAAAGAGGCTGCAGCTCTGGCTATGGCGAGAGAGAACGCCCTTTGCTTACCGGCTGTTACGGTGAACAGAATACTGCGCTCGTGTACCTGGACAAGGCAGCTGTCAGGATGCGGGCAGTGCACAAGGTGGCAGTTGATGGTCCCGACGCTCACCTCCGCGTAGAAGACGGCGACATTACAAGACTCTGCGGAGACAGAACAAGTGTATCAAAACTTTCAGGAACGCGTCAGATCATAAAAGTATTTTGTGACAAACCTTCTGCGCTCCTCTTCTGCGCTCCTCTTCTGCGCTACTTCTCAAAATGTAAGCTGCCAGCACATGAAAAAATCAATAACAATAAGGGCAGCACCAACCCATATATATAAAAATACATTATTTGGGGTGTGGGATAGGAGTGTTTGGAATTTTTTTTATTTTAATTTCAATATTTGTGGATTGTTTATATTGTGCTTGGACTTTATTTTTGTTAATATTTAATATTTGTTTACAAGCGGATACATTGTTTATATTGTGTTTGGACTTTATGTATTTTGTTATAGTTATTATTTGTTTACATAGGGGATATATTGATTGTATTGTTTTTGTACTTTATTTTAATATTTCATGCTTTGTTTACAATGCAAGTGAATATATTGTATTATATTGTGTTTGGAGTTTATTTGTTTTGATAATATTCACATTAATGTTTATTAGGGATCTGTATAGAAGACATCATTTAGGGCTAGTGCGGAGCAGATGCAGAGCAGTTACAGAATGCATCAAAACTGCATCCAATGTATTCCAATTGTATTCTGGGCTCTAGTTCACACCAGAGCGTTCAGTTCCAGAGCATGTGGAAAAACTGCAGCATCCCCTATTTTTTCTGCTCTGGAACGCACCAAAACAAATCAAAAACGCATGCAAACACCCTGGAACGCACTGAAAGCCAATTTTAGGCTATAATATATACAGTGGGGCAAAAAAGTATTTAGTCAGCCACCAATTGTGCAAGTTCTCCCACTTAAAACGATGAGAGAGACCTGTAATTGGCATCATAGGTAGAAAAAGGCCAGAAACGCATCAAAAACACGGCAAAACACACTGCACTGCATGTGCAGAAACTCATGCAGATCTGGTCCGAGTTTGGTGTGAACAAGCGCTTGGGGTATAAAACAAAGGGGACTTATGGGTATTGATATCAGATCATATATCAACCTTTGTGTCTTTTATATCATAAAAGGCTTTTTTTCTGTTTTCAGAACTTTTTTTTTTAAAGCAACCCCCCCCCCCCTTCCCGCCAAAACCCCCCCCATACAAAATATGTTTTTCATGCTTCATTTTAAAGTGTTCTTACAGACAAACTTAGAACGCTGGTCAGGTTTGTATTGCTGGGTAGATTCACCCCTCCTGTTTCCTATTTGTCCAGGGGATACCATGATAAAAGCGATATCCTCTCACTTCATGTTGTGTTACTAGGACAAGGAATAAACAAATCTCCCCCATGGGACATATAGACATTGTCTATTGTCTGCGCTGGGGTTCTATTCCCCTCTAAATGTTTTGGCCTTGGATGCACATGGTCAGCAGTTTCCTTCCTCCCAGCTCTGCTTTCAGGCACTTTCTCGGTTGCTTTTTCTTACAGTCATAGCAGAACAGTATAGAGGGATTAAAAGAGACAATGAAAAATCACTCGCATGTTCCACAATGGCATTGTAATGAGAATGAATCCAGCAGGGTGCAAACTGCAGCATTTTGCAGTTTGAACACATGCTGCTAATTTTCATATGGGCAGATGAAAGAGGACCTGCATGATCATGTGTTTTTAGAATGAACTTTAACATGTATGGACAAACAATAGATGTAAATGATTATTTTAACAATTAGGAAGCGTGTAAAATTGTGCCCATAAAACAACCTGTTGTGGAGTCTTGTAATGCAAATCTAGAGTTTTTTTAGGGGGTCGGGCACCATAGAACCGCAGTTGGGTCATCCCCTGGTGGACGATATTATTGGGATAGTAATAGGAGACCTGCATTTTCCTGCAGCTTCATTTCCTGATTTTAGAAAAGAGGGATTAGAGATAAAGCAAAGGCTGAAGCATAAGGCCTTGTTCACACCAGATGCAGTGCGTTTCGGCCTGATTCTGACCAAAACGTACTGCATCGCATTGCGGACGGCTCACTATGTTGTGGGGCAGGAGGAGGCGTGGCGATCCATTGAAGCGAATGCCGCACGGTATCACAAGGCACATTATGCCTGCGGTCCGAACAAAATGCTGATTCTCTGATGTGAGAAGGGGGGACTCTGATGTGAGAAGGGGGGACTCTCAAGTGAAGGGGAAACTCTGACTTGAGAGGGGGGACTCTGACGTGAGAGGGGGACACTGATGTGAGAAGGAGGGGGGCTCTAATGTGAATAGGGGCTCCCTATTTCAAGGAGGGACTCTGATTTGAAGGGGGTACCTCATTTTTTGCTCATTTTGGCTTGAAGCCCCCTAAAGCCCATACCACACCCTTTCTGGGATAAGGGTCTGCTTTGGATTTTGGAGGGGGCTCCACATTTCTTATGTTTTTATGTTTTTTACCTTCTAGTCTGGGGAGCCTGAAGATTTGGCATATTTCTGACTATAGAAAGAAAAAAGGTTGAGAAACACTGACAGCAAACTCCTCACCTTGGTCGCAGCACTTGCGGCTGCAGAGGTGGGCAGACGGCTCTGGGTGCCTCTGCAGTACCCGGGCACCTCGCTGCTCAGAGACAGAGAAGCTGAGGAAGAGTCCAGGGAAGCGTCTGATCCAGCAGTCGTGGTAGAAGGCGGTGTGAGGGCACAGGGCGCTGGACATACACAGGACCGGCAGGAAATCCAGGAGAGAGAAGACCAGGAAGAGGGAAGACTCCACATTCAGTGCCATGTCCTCAGGGTAGAAGAGACGCGGTCCTGCAGAGGGACAAAAGAAGAGAGTCATTCTCAATGGACAATCAGCAGCCTAAACCAAAGGTTTACCCTTCTCTAGAGACCCCACATAACACGGCTACCAAGAGAACATTTAAGACACATTAATGCAGCTCTGTAATTATTATGACATCATTACTAGTCCCTGTACAGCAGAGCTCAGAGTGGGGGAAGGAGAAGCAGCACAAGGAGCCATTCAGTTGTGAGCCATTCAGCCATATGCTGATAGGAGGAGAGAGCACAGAGAGATGAGGCCATTAGTCTGCTGCATCTACGTCATGTACAGTCACAGGCTGGGGAAGGGTCAAGACATGATGCAAGTGTTACTGTACTGCAGCAGAGAAAATGAAGGTCTCCTGCCTTGCTAGACCAGGCTGTGCTGTGTGGTAGAGCTGTGTAAATCTCAGGACTGGATATACAGAATTCTGAGAATTCAGATATCAGTGTAGTCAGAGAACTCGGATATCATTGTAGTCAGAGAACTCTGATATCATTGTAGTCAGAGAATTCGGATATCATTGTAGTCAGAGAATTCGGATATCATTGTAGTCAGAGAACTCGGATATCATTGTAGTCAGAGAACTCGGGTATCATTGTAGTCAGAGAA